ACTAGAACCATCTCCTGTACTTTAAAAATAGGACAAGCAAATATTTACCGATGGCTTACTAGTAGGGTGTCATCTCAGATAGCTTTTACATGGTATTAAACATTAAAATCTTAAAGTAGAGAAAAAGGGAAACGCATTTTTCAATGCATTCTTTATAATTAGCATTCACTGAAAGAATAAAATATTTTTGGACTATCTGCAATCATAGATTTATGTTCTGCACTCCCTATAAGTTTACTGTTTATTTACTTGATATTTATCTTATTCTTGCTCTTAATTCCATATATGAAACACGTTTGTTTTTAAGTTTTTATCTTTTGAGGATTTCACATATGAGTACTATATTTACATTATTTCTGCCCCTTCCTCTTCCTCTTCTCTTTCCCCTTCCCTAGTAAAATATTTATTTTTGATACAATAGTCAAAATATCTTTTAGAAAAAAGAGCATCTGGGTGTTGTGGAATGTAAAGGGTTACCTTTGGTTGTGTGATAAAACCTTACAATTGGAGCAGCGCTGGAGGTCCCCTGGAAGCTTGTGTCTTTTCTTGTTGTAAGTGAGAACATATGAAAAAACAGTTTTTATAGAATAAGATGAGGTAAGAACTGAAATAAGCCTGTCCATTCAGATGTTGGAGACTAGTAAAATGATGGTCACTTCTACAGTAGACAATAGCCACTAGCATTCGTGAAATCATCTGGTAATTTTCCCAATGGAAGCCCCCACAATCACTGATGCTGTCTCCTTGATTCACAGGTCCAGACAACATGAAGGCTGTGCTTTTCTTCCTGTACATCCTGGGGACTGCAGCTGCGATCCCCGTAAGTGCCCTCCTTCTGTGTTATGTCTCCCACTCTTGACTCTGCATTTGGAAGAAAATGTTCTTGACTTTGAGGTGCTAAAGCAGGAAGATCCATGTCAAGTACCAGTTGAGCCTAAAAAGACCCAGTCCCAAGGAAAGGCACCCCCATGGGTGATTCTTTCTAGGATGGCTTTGGATTCTTTTTAATTCCAATTACATTTCCTTATTGACCAATAAGTAAATGCATAAGTAAAAGGAAAAAAATCAAGATGACATGCTTTAAAATATTTTTTACAAATAATAAAGTAAAATGAATATGAAGCAAAAAATGTTGACTATCATCTTACTAGACAGAGTGTACCCAAACAAATGGCCATCGAGAAATAAATCAGCTTGCAGATGTGTGAAAAGATAAAGAATTTAACATGTATTGCATGACCACTCTCCTCTATTATTTTCTTCAAGATCAAATGCATGCTGTTTTCTCAGATTGAGACTCTCCCCTACAATAATGAAAACAGAGCTCAGTGTAGTAGGACCACAGATGCTATGGGAATCTATAGCTGCAACCTTATCTCTAGGCTGTCCAAGAAATTATGCTCCAGTTAGGCATGACTAGGGCATCCTCTACTTCATGGTCAGGCACATTCACCCACCACAATCTACAAGTAATAAAACCACTGTAGGCATGACTAGGGCATCCTCTAGTCATGGTCAGGCACATTCACCCACCACAATCTACAAGTAATAAAACCACTGCATGCAAGTCATATTCCTGGAGGCCAAATCAGCAGCCTCAGCACTACTGGAAGATTTCAATGGCCTTATGATCATTTCTGATGTTCCACAGATGACCTATGTCATCTTTCATTAAGCCACATGTGCCAACTGTTTTTCTTCAACCAATGGAAGAACCAATCTCCTTTAAATAAATAGCATTGCCCCCTCTTCTCCAGTCTGATTCTATCTTTCCTTTTAGATGAATGGGAGCTAGTTGCAGATAGCTGTATTGGCAAAAACAAACTCCGTGCCACCCTGATGGAGCAGTTCATAGAAAGAAAGAATTTATGACAAACATTAAGAATCATGCTGTACATTAACTCATGTGGAGTAGTCCAGTTGATGTTACACATTGTACTTTGAAATTAGAGAAGCAGAACAAATTAGAAGAGAACGGAGTTCCCACAAAATCATTGCTTTTTCCTGAAAATTTGTTTTCCCTTTGGAATGGTCATGGTTTCAGCTTTGTAAAGAGATATCCAGAATCTTTGAACCAAATGTTTGATGACACTCCCACATATAGACACAAGCCAGATGTTTCCTTTCTGGGGCAATTTATTATAAGCAGTCCCAGCCTGATGCTGAAAAGCTAAATGTCTTCTCAAAAGTCTGGTCAGTGTAAAATCCTGCAGCATTTTCCAACCTTGGTTGAATTCTTCAACAGCTAATTGTTTCTGTGTGGCCAAGAGATTCCAAGCAGACTCTCAAGAGGGCATGAGAAATAAACATAGACGTGGGCACGATGACGAAATAGATTTTTAATTACCAGATAGTTCTGAAGGAAAATAAGTTGCTGCACTAGTGTGCACTCCTTAGAGATAAGTGGAACAAGAAGGTGCAGGAGAGAGATAGGAAAGGCATTCAGCAAAAAGTGCAACCTCCCCCTCCATCGCCTCTCTATGACACCCTGGGAGGAAGGGATTTACCAAAGCAGGTTCCATTTCTCCTTTTCCTCTTCCCTTTAGCTTCTTTCTAGTCATTTTCAGTGTTAATCCTCTCAGTTGAGAAGGAGGTGAGATGCAAGATTGCAAACAGAACATAACAGATCCTGTAGCCACCTGGCTTACTTTACAGATACTGTCAGCACTTACAGGACCTGCTGGTGGATGAGAAGACACTGTCCAAATAGAGCCTGGGCTCTATACTTAGGTCCACCGCATTCCCACAGGACCTCCATTATGATATAGGCAAATACCTGCTTCAGACAGTTATGTGTTATCATCATGAACCTTCACTGTCAGGAGGAGTAGTTTTAACTTGGGAACTCATTGAAATTTATGAAATAGCTTATGTCCATCACTCAGTCTCTGTGTTTCTGCTCACTTTGCCAAAGGATAGAAGACAGCGACTTGTCAAGCCCCAATGGAGATCAAAGAGCAACCAAGTCTTGAGGGAGATTTCCCTCCAAGTCTAGGGACTCAACTTCCCTTTGGTGCATTACTGTCCTGCTCTTCATTGACATCTCTAAACTTGTATGAAGCCATTGTTCTTGCTGAAATCAGGGTCCTCAGGGGCCACTCCCTACCAGGCTCCATGTCCTGTCTCACATTGGTTCTAAATTAAATCAATTATTTAGTAAAAGATGCCCTGGTGTCTGTTGAAACCAATGGGACCAAGAAAATAAATATTTAGCAAAAATCTTGCAATCTTTTCTGCTAATTATCAATGAGAATTTGAAAGAAGCCAAGGTGCTGTATAGTGCTATATCCAGGAGTTAATTTTGTTTTTCTCCAACTTTGTGTTAAATAATACCTTTCAAGATTATAAAATATAAATGTTTCTGTCAAGGTTTGAAAATCCCAAAAGTCAAGGATAGTCATTATTGAAATGTTTTCTGTTTTATTTTCAGCCAGTCTTTGTATATATAACCTTTCATAAATTTGACTATAATTCTTTCATGTCACAGTATATTGCAGGCACTTGCTTGTAACCTAGAGACCTTGCTTATAATTCTAGAGACTGTTGTTCATTAACTTTATCATTAAAGATCCCAGTAGTGGTGATAATGACAAAAATAACTCATATTTTTAGGTTGGTATATTAGTAACACAAAGTCTTCATTTTTTTTTTCAGACAAATGCACGGTTTCTGTCTGAACATTCCAACCCAACTACTGCAACATTGGTGACACCCGACAATGCTGAAGCCCCCAGTGCTGGAGCTGAAGCTGCAGCAGACATAGAAAACCATGCCAATGATAAGGTAAAAGTAATCGTCATATTAGTGTCATCTTTTTATTTCTCCAGAGAATCCAGTATCAAATCAGGCTTAAAGTTTAATATATTGATTTCTCGGTTTAATTTTGTAAGTGCAATCATCACATGAACTATTCTCCAAATACGAGAAATTATGGTGACTAATGAGTATACTCCCTGTAGTGAAGTGCTATATAAAACATTTCTTTATACAATATTTAAATTTAGAATGGGAAGAACAACACAAATATATTTACATGATGATGTGTGGAGAAAAAGAAGGAAGAATGTTTAATGTTAGCTTTGTAGTGATAAATATGAATACCATGTCATTTGTTTCAAGAATAAACGTTTGTTCTTTTAAGGCTGAAGAACCTTCAGCACCAAAGTCAGAAGAGGAAACCCATGTACAGTCAACAGAACAGGACAAAACCTACAGCCATGAGGTGGATCTGAAGGATGAGGAGGATGGCGATGGTGATTTGAGTGTGAATTTGGAATATTCACCAACAGAAGGAACGATGGATGTACAAGAAAGTACAAATGAACCTCCAGAGAGAAAGCTCCTAGAGAACACTGATCTTCCTGCCATTGCTTCTACTTCCTTTGTGGATTCTAACCAACGTGCAAACATCACAAAAGGGGAAGGAAGCCAAGAGCAACCTGTAGGTGATTCAAACCTGCAACTAAACAAGAGCAGTAAGCATAACCAAGACTTAGTGGATGAAGAAAGCCAGGAACAAGATCTAGGTGCTCCCAATGAAGAAGAGGAAGAAGAGCCAGGAGATGAAGAAGAGGAAGAAGAGCCAGAAGATGCTGATGCTCCCAGTGATAACCAAGAAAGGGAAAAAGAACCTCCCGAGGAGCAGCCTATCAGCAAGCAGGAGGGGAACAGTGACCAATCTGATGATACCTTAGAAGAGTTTAGTCAACCAACCCCAATAAGCAAGATGCAGAAGAATGGATTTGAGCAAGGAAACCAAGGGCAAGAAGGTAACTCCAATGCAGAAGGGGAGGACGACAAGACAGCAAGCAGCAAGAAGCACATTCAGCATACAGAGTGGCAGGGCCAAGAAAGAAAAGCTGGTCTTGAAGCTACTGGTAACCAAAAGGACATGGATGAAAAGACAGTTTCCACAGAACCTACTGATGATGGTACCATTGTGACTAGGAATCATGAAGCCCATGATAATGGAGGCAATGGTGATGCTAAGCATGGCACAAGTGATGACTATTTCATCCCAAGCCAGGAATTCCTAGAGGCTGGAAAGACACATTCCCTTTCCTATTACCTCAAACATGTTGAGGAAGCCACAGATGAGAATGAAAACGTAGATAAAAGCGAAGCTGGAGACAACCAAGGGGTGAGATTATTTACAATGATGCTTGTCCAATAAATTAGCCAAGAAATAGTCGCAATCACTCTGTATACTCTCTCACTCTGCTGTGTGTGCTTCTAGCAGTACATTCCTAAAATACAGGGCAGGCTGAGCATCCCCCATTTGAAGTGACAGACCAAAAGCATTGCAATCTTGTTCAGGCTGGAAGATGTGCATATACATAATGAGATATCTTGAAAATAGAATCCATGTTTAAACACAAGATTCATTCATTGCACAAACACTTCCTCTGTGTTTATAGCTTAAGCATAACTTTATGCAATATTTTTAACGTGTCTGTATTTTAACTGTGACCTGTCACGTGAGCTCATGTGCTAAATCTCACTTTTGGGGCCATGTCTTCACTCAAACAGTAACTGGATTTCAGAGAATTTCCTATTTCAAGTGTTCAGATTATGGATGCTCATTGTATTTTAACTGTGACCTGTCACGTGAGTTCATGTGCTAAATCTCACTTTTGGGGCCATGTCTTCACGCAAACAGTAGCTGGATTTCAGAGAATTTCCTATTTCAAGTGTTCAGATTATGGATGCTCACCTTGTACAATGTATTTGCCTTCCTGTCTCCATCATTAGACTGAGAATATGTTTTATTTGTGATCTTATTAGAAGCAGGTCTTCAATTTGAGTGACAGTTATTTGAGAAGTACAAGAAACAATGAAAGAGAAATTTAAATATTACATAGAGAAGGAAAAGAAGCTAAAATTAAATCAAAAAATTAAATTCACTTATAAAAAGAACCCTCCCAAGGATTATTCCATTTGGGAATAAGGGAGCTGGGACATTTATTTTGTCTGAGACTTGCTAGAGACGTAATAATTCCCCAACACATCCAGTCTGTCCTTTGGATAGGCCTAGTAGATTTCTGTGGCTTAGGGGGCATACAAATGCAGACAGTGGGGTTGAAAATCCCTGCAGCTGGATGGAAAATTCTGACAGACCTGAAGAATGGGAGACACTAGAGCTGCATTTCTGCTGTCTTCAAATCTGGGCTCACATCACATTGGTCCTGCTGAACCACTGTGTCTAACAGAAATGCCCCCAACATAATCAGAGATAGCAATGTTTGTGGATTTAACCATAAAAATTAAAGTACTGCTCTAAAAAGCAAACACATGTCCATATGAAAATATGGGAACTGCAGTAGGGAGGAAGAGGGGATTCTGTTTTGATTTGACTACCTAATCGCCTGGGACTTTCAGGAAAATTCCCAGCACACTGCCCTCCTGCCTTCCCAGGAGGAATTAATTCCATATGCCCCCCCACAACCAGGAAGAACTGACCCCATTTGGGGTGGCAGGTAATCTCTCAAGTCCCTAGACCTCTCCTTCCATTCTAAGGCAGAAAGTTTCTTACACCTCAAACTCTACAAAGAAAGTTTTAGTAACACCTCCACAGAGGTCACTGATGGACTGCCATCCTCATGACAAAATCCCAAGACAATGTTATGGGGACCCAATTCCAAGGGGGTGATCCTACCTCACATGGAACAATTCTTGTTCTCCAAGGGTTACTGTATGCACAGCTCAGTGACTGTATGCACAACCCAGTGACTGTATGTATGCACAGCTCAGTGACTGTATTCAGAGCTCTGTGACTATGCACATTAAGAGAGAAAGCAAATCAGTGATCTCTTGATAGCACTGAAATTCTGCTCCTGTTCTTTTCAAAGGCCAAGAAAGCTGAGAGTTTGCCAAATGTTGGACCTTCGGATGAGGGCAACTCGAGGGGGCACAGTGCCGGTGAGTGGAAGCCAGGTCCAGGGAGGGGTGGAATCTGTCACTTTGGCTAGCACCCCCTTCCATTCTGATCCATAAATCCACATCCCCAGCCTCCCCAAGGAAATATCTCATAAAATGTGGGTATTGTTTATATGTGTTTGATAAGCCGTGGGTCAGTGTGCTGACAAACTGAAAGTCCTGTTGGGATTTTACACAAAGCTATCTCCACCACCCCCCACAGCCCCAAACACCACTTTTAGCTCTAGGAAAGACTGATTCTGTTGCTTACTCTCAAGTCCATCCTATCCCAACCACAAACATCTTTAATTTCAACAAAATTACATTCTCCTGGCTTGACTTCTGACCTCTTTCCACGCTGTTTTATGCACTGTTTTATGCACTTCAGATTCTGACTGTCTTATGCAGTGCCAGGAAGACCTCTTCCAGCTCCAGTGCAGTCTTCTGTAAGAGGACATCTGAAGTCCTATGCACACATCCAAGGCCAGAGTCCCGCTGCAGATTAACATCAGTTAAAGCATTTCCCAGCATCTTCCTGCTTTCATGTTTTCAGGATCTGGTTTTTCTGTCTGATGCGTGAAAGAGAAGCTAACTGTCTGGCTGACTCTGTGTTTAATACACAATTTCTCCATGTCTACATTCCCTTTCCATTCTTCCCTTTTAGATTCTTGCATGAACTTCCAATGTAAAAGGGGACACACTTGTGAAGCAGATCAGCAGGGGAAACCCCACTGTGTTTGCCAAGATCCAGAGACCTGTCCCCCTGCAAAGATTCTTGACCAAGTAAGTATTCTGATGAACAGTTCTCAAGATACACCAAAACCCAAGGGTGGACATAGTTTGAAATTGAATCTATTTTTTAAGCGGGTGCACGGGTAATCTACTACTATTTGAGGTTATATTGAGTGAGAACAGATACCAGAGAAATCAAAGTATTTTTATTGTGTCATAAAAATGTAATAGTGGGGTCAAGGAGACAGGTCAGTGGTTAAGACCTCCTGTGCAGTTCTAAGGACGGGAGTTCGGATCCAGCACCCACATAAATGCTAGGTGGGAGTGCCTGTGTCCTTGTTAACTCTAGGACACTCAGAAAGCAGAGGTGGGGATTGCTGAAGCAAGCTGACTAGTGGTATAGATGAACTCTGGGTTCAACTGAGAGATACCACCTCAGCAATAAGGTGGGGAGAGATCAGAGAAGACTCCGACATCAGCTCCAGCCCACCCACACCTGATTTGGTGCCAAATCAGAGAATTGTTATTTTAATAGACTCTACCGGAGCACATCTTTGGCACAGTACACTTTCCAGACATTCTGTGAGTCCCAGGGAAGTGTTTTCCAGCAAGTATTCAGTTCCATCACGTCTCCTTGTTTCCTTTGCCTAGGTTTGTGGCACTGATAACCAGACCTATGCCAGCTCCTGTCACCTGTTTGCTACCAAGTGCAGGCTGGAAGGGACCAAAAAGGGACACCAACTACAGCTGGATTATTTTGGATCTTGCAAATGTAAGCCACTGACCACTACTACCAAACATCATTTCCAGGTGGACTTGGGGCGATTTTTGTGCCTGTCTCTATACACAAACAGAACAGTTTACATAGTTATGAAGTCAGTCTGAAACAAAAAGCAACTCAGGAATTCCCAGGTCTTAATCATGAGAGATTCTGATTCCATGCGACTGTGTTGGAACCATAGTTTTGTTCTACTATTTGTTTTTCAAGAAACCTAGACCATTCCAAGTCTCCCCATGGAGTTCAGAGGCACCATTGTAATATGCACTTTGTATAGACATGAAAGACCAGGGTTTTCTGGATTACTTACCTTCCTCCCAATTTCACTTAAGTCTTTGCCAAGAATTTTATTGCAGTAGATTCTTCCAGAACTTCCTGCCCCAGGATTTTCTCAGTTGTGTCTGGCTCCTCTTGTAGATAACTAGTCCCACACTAGTATTGCCCCCTCGTGCTTCTGCTTCTCCAAAGTTTCTACACACACACACACACAATCTATTAAGTGCTATTGTTTGACTTTCTCTGTCCACTAACATAGACAAAATCACCCACGTACATTCTAGGCAAAAGCCCATAAAGGCTGGTACGTTACTGTGTCCTCTCAGCTTGTGCTGAGGCAGTAGCCACCGTGTCAAGGCTCAGGGAGACGGTGATGAGTTGAGCCCTCTTGGCAGCCGGTGTCTGATGTGGGGCCATCCGGAAAAAAGTGTGGTCTTCTCTAAGAGCAGAGATGTCACAATATCTGCTGCTGTCGAGGGAGCTCCTCTTGGCTTTTCCCTGTGCTGTCAATCAACAACCTGATGCCCTCCACTTCCAAATTCCTGGTCCCTGGCTTTACAACACTGATTCTCAGCCCTTTACTGAATGTCCAAATTATTTGGGGGATCACTTAAGACATCCTGATGCCCAGGTCCCACCACAAAATCATCAGGATTTTCTTTCCATAGAAATTGTTGTCTGCTAGGCATAGTAATGTGAGTCTATCATTTGGCACTTGGTACTGTGAGGCAGGAGGATCACAAAAAAAAAAAAAAATACCCAACAACTTTGACATTTGATTGGTATGTTTTTAAGACACCCTAGGAAATTCTACTGTGATGCCAGGGGTAAGGACCACCATAAGGAGGAAGTGGGTGTTGATCTTCCTGTGACAAGATCTTGTTATTTGAAATGTGGTTACATTGTGTTTTCTGCTTATCCCAGCTATTCCTGCTTGTACGGACTTTGAAGTGGCTCAGTTTCCCCTGCGAATGAGAGACTGGCTCAAAAATATCCTGATGCAGCTTTACGAACCCAATCCCAAACATGATGGCTATCTAAATGAAAAGCAGAGAAGCAAAGTAAGTTCCACACTCTGCTACCTAAGTGTCTGTGTGCAGGACCTGAGTGGGGAGGTGTGGCAAGACAGGTTCTGCTACCTGAGTGTCTGTCTGTCTGCAGGACTCAAGGGGGGAGGTGTGGTGAGAGCGCCCTGCCTTGCACAGCAGTGGAAGTCTGCCCAGCTTTTCTGCATCTGGTTAGCCTGCATGCATTAACAGATTATAGTGGTCACCATCCATGCTACAATTTCCATAATACAACCAACTGCCCACATTCTACTCAAGGGATAGTAGCCTGGAAAGTGTTCCTTAAGTTGCATCTACAGAAATCTATGACCATGCAAAGTTAACAAATACAGCATTTATATGATCAGCTTCCTATGATTATAACAAATACCTCAGATAACACTACTTAAAGAAGAAAGGTCTCTTGGCTCACAATTTTGGAAGTTCTAGTCTGTGACCGATGTTATCTGTGTTGCTTTGGGCCTGTGTTGAGGTATTATATGTGGCAAGGAATATTCACTTCATATTGGACCAATGAACAAAGAAAAAAGAAGAGGTGCTGGGCTCCCCACATCCCCTTCGGTCATGCCCCCATATGACCAGGAAACTTCCAACTAGGCCTTATCTCTGAAAGGTTCCACCATTTCCCATTAGTGTCATGGGCTAAGGACCAAGATTCTAACTCATGGGCCTCCATGGGCAACATGGTATCCTTGATAAAGCAGGCCCAGCATGTTTAAGTCTGACATTTTCAGTCCTCGTAGACCAGACACAGATTCTGCTGTAAGGGAAATTAGTTGCTCTTTATGCCAGCAACACATTAAGATTTAAGAGCACAGAACATTGCCAAGCAGTGGTGGCACACAACTTTAATCTCAATACTCCAGGAGGCAGAGGCAGGTGGATCTCTTGTGAGTTTGAGGCCAGCCTGGTCTACAAAGTGAGTTCCAGGACAGCCAGAGCTACACAGAGAAACCCTGTCTCAGGAAAAAAAGAAAAGTGCAGAAAATTGATTCCTGAAGTTTCAAGAGAAGATTCTCCCATTGGATAGTTAGTGAATATATTCTGGGTGCCAGAATTGACCTACACTCTAGACATACAGCAACAGACACATAAAACTTCCACTTTAAAAGGTTTACATTCAAGGCAAGGAGACAGATTACTATACTAAAGCAAGTTCGTGTGTGTGAAATGTCCAGCAATAAACTGAAATTTTATTTTGCTGAGTTGTTTTAAAACAAAAAGAAAGAGGGAGGAAGGGGGAAGGAAGGGAGGGAGGGAGGGGGGACGGAGGGGAAGTAGAATCCATTTCCTCTGGGTCAGACTTCACGTCCTGAACAGGTTTTCCTCTGTCATATTGTTACCCTTCAAGAGCTGATAAGTGACAATATCAAGACACTTTCCTGGTACTCTAACAGCCTTCTGACTTCTTAATCTCAGGTCAAAAAAATTTACCTGGATGAAAAGAGGCTCTTGGCAGGAGACCATCCCATTGAACTCCTCTTGAGGGACTTCAAGAAAAACTACCACATGTATGTGTACCCTGTGCACTGGCAGTTCAATGAGCTGGACCAACACCCTGCGGACAGGTGAAGACCCTTTACCTCCCACCCCCAGGACACTTCCTGGTAATGATATCTATGTGAAATAGAACTCCAGACACGACTGGGAATGTTTCCAGCTTCATTTTCAAACACCCAGTACAAACCAGTCATGGTTAGGAATCTAATCAAAAATCACTAAGAAAATAATTGAAGATGGCAACAGCACAGTGTCCGAATTACCACTCTGAGTTTACTAATTAAATCTCTGTTTCCCACAGAGATGCTCTCTATTCTCATTCTAGAACTAAATCCACAGGTTAATCTAATTGGCTCAACTTGGGTCAAGTACCACCTCTGGGACCATCCAGGAATGCCAGTGAGTGAGAACCAGCTCACACAAGCCCGACTTCTGGGTGCGCATATAGAGACTGGGATAGGATGATGCACAATTCCCAGCAAAGAGGCAAGCCTTGGGCACCACAACCCATTCTTGCCTGTAGCTTTTCACTGTGTGGTTCATTTGGCATACACAGTGACCTTGAGGAAGGAAATGTCCTTGGTGATGGAGACTTAAGTCCCTCATGCAGAAGCAACACAGTTAATAGGCTGTCATTGTCCTCTTGCAGGATCTTGACACATTCCGAACTTGCTCCTCTGAGAGCCTCCCTGGTACCCATGGAGCACTGCATAACCCGCTTCTTTGAGGAGTGTGACCCCAACAAGGATAAGCACATCACCTTGAAGGAATGGGGCCACTGCTTTGGGATTAAAGAAGGTAAGTTCATTACCAAAGAACAATGTCTCCTTTTTCAGATAAATGCTGAGTCCTTTAACAAAATATCAAGATCCTGCTATAGGAGTGTGTGTGTGTGTGTGTGTGTGTGTGTGTGTCCCCGCATGCACATAGTCCTTTAATCCCAGAACTCAGGAGGCACAGGCTGGTAGATCTACGTGTGTTCCTGGCCAGCCAGGCCTATGTAGAAAAACCTTTTCTCAAAACAATAACAATAATAACAATGTAGGAAAAGCCTGAGTAACAATACTGAGGTTGTCTTCTGGCCTGCATTCACATATGCTTGTGTACCCAGAATACATGTATACCCATGCACACATGTACACCTGGTCACAAACACATACCACAGATGCTTTATGAACACATTTAAAAACACATACTGTCTATAGAGTGAGTTCCAGGACAACCTCCAAAACAATACAGAGAAACCCTGTCTCGGAAAACCAAAAAACAAACAAACAAACAAAACACATACAGATGAGCAAACAGTCTAACACTAAGAACAGTACGGTTGGCAAAGGTCAGACTTCCTTCCCCTCATGGGTTATATGTGTGACTTCACTTTAAAATTCTTCGCCATGCCGATGTGCAATGGCTTGGAATTGGCAAGACCTGAAAGTGTTGGGACCAAGCCCTTTAATGTTCAGCAGAAGGATGACCCTGCTGCTCTCAACAGTACTGTGTGAATGAACACCAATGATGAGCCTGTTTCAGGGAGCACTGCCTCTTCTGCCTTAGTTGCTCTACTATGTAGCAAACTATCACCAGATTAGCAGGATGTTAACCTGATTAGCTAATGTTAACCTGTTTGCCAGGGTCAGGAGAATGGGAGTCACTTTTCTGGGCGGTTCTGGCGTAGGATCATGTGACCAATCTGTTAGCCAAGTGCAGAGGTGGCCTGAAGGATCTGCTTCTAAGTTCTGTCACCTGGTTGTTTAAAAGGACATCACCCTGTGGTAGCCACCTACCCTTAGTAACCCAAGGCTGAAGTCCACCTCATTCTGCCATGTTCTGTTGGTCACACAGGACAACCCTGCTCTCAAATGGGGAACACGGGCCAAGGGGGATCATTGGAAGCCACTTTGGAAATTGGATTTCATTAGTGCTCAAAAGACATGAACAAGCTGTTAGACCAAGACTGATACAAAAGGATAGGTTCCCTTTCTAACACCTATTCTCCAAGCAGAGTATTTATACAAGTTCAAATGTATCCCCCAAATGGTTAAACCTGTCTTTTAAACTCCCTGCTGAAGAGACAGAGCATCCCCCAGTGCAGCTGAGCCCACTATTAGCAACATGAGGAGCACAGCTGGGCCAGAACATTTTCATTGACATCTCCTTACAGGACTTGGTGTTTTAAAGACTGATAAAAGGGCAAATTTGAGTAAAGGTCATTTGCTTAAAGAAAAGGAGTTTTTCTTCCCTGTTTCCTTTGCAAAATGTCCAGCAGTTCTTCCACAGTCAGGCTATCCAGGCTCTACACTGGGAGGAGCCAGAAAGGTCCAAGCCCAGTGACTTGCAAAGCTCCTAATAGTCTTGTTTGTCACTGTGGTCTGGCTAGCATTATGCTATTTTGAAGTTGGGAGAGAATTATCACGTACTAAGCCAATAAGGCAGTCATTAAATGTTCAGTTAAAGTAAGTAAACAAGTTATCACTTTGGGATACAGCAGGGCAAGGCAAAGAAAGAATAACATTTCTTTATAAATGTACTTTCTTCCCAGTGAATGCTAATAAGAGCACAGGAGAAGATAAACTTTACTAGCATTTTCTTGATTTTCAACCGCCTATGACCTAAACTAGATATGTTCAAACGGCACAGCCTACCACTAGCCAGCTCCAGGCATGCCGCTTGCCCTCGGTCACTCATCTTTTGCTGCAATAATGAAGCTCAGAGAAGTGGCGGGAGGGTCTTCATGATGATGACACACTGTGTGCTTCAGTTAATACGATCAACACCATGACCAACAGCAACTTGGAGAGAAAAGGGTTTATTTCATCTTACAACTCTCAGGTCGCCGTCATCACTAGGAGAAGTCAGGTCAAGAACCTGGAGGCAGGAGCTGATGCAGAGGCCATGGAGGGTGCTTCTTACTGGCTTGTTCCCCATAGTTTTTTCAGCCTGCTTCCTTCACCTGTCTGGAGGTGGAGACCAACACTCACAGTGGGCTGAGTCCTTCTGCATCAATCACCAATCAAGAAAATGCCCCCACGGGCTTGTCGATTGGCTGATCTGATGGGAGCATTTTCTCACCTGAGGTGCACTCGTTTCAAATGACTCCAGCCTATGTCTGGTGACAAAAAAAACCCAACCAATACACCACCTACTGCATCTACTCATATCACTCTTAGTGAAACTACAGGGATAAGTCAGACCACACAGGGCCTCCTGAGCCCTTTAAAGACTTTACTCTGGGAGTGTCATCAAACCAGAGTCCTGTGGTTACACTGCAGAGCAAGTAAAGAATGGCTGAGGATGCTGTGGTAAATCCAAGAGTTGATAAGATCCTGACTCTGACTCAGAAGTGATTGTGGGGAAATAAGTGATGCAGTCAAGACATCCTAAATTAGAAGCACACTCACATGGTGCAGGTTTGGCATATAAGGAGGCAATGGCTGGTAAGAAATACTAGGCAGGGAGCAGACAGCTGAGAGAATCTAGAGGAAGCATACAGTGTCCCTATTCCTGCCTTGGGCCAGGCAAGATAGCTAGGGGCACAATGACAGGAGCAGATTTGAGGCAATGACAAATTCCACTTGAACGTGCTGAATTTTAATTACTAACAAGACAAAGACGATCCCTAGCTGAGTCATAGTTGCAAGAGTTTGGAAATTGAATATGCATTTGGAGAATTATGGATATAATTCAGTGGTGGAATTCTTATCTCACATATGCATGGGCCTGAGTTTATCCCCAGCAAGAGAAAGAGCGACATGGGCACATGGAGAATAATTGACACTAAGGAAGGGAATTATTATGCTAAAGAAACTTCATTAAGTTATAGAACAAAACTCTATGGTTGGACACCAGGGAATCACACCTGTAGATAACACATCCTTGAGAAGGGGTTCAGAAAGAAGAAAGAACAGTCCCCCCAAAAGGAAGGAATGAAGGGAAGTTCCATGTTAAAAAAGGTGTTGCATAGGTAAGGGACTATGCTGACTGCAAGGAAGACCAAAGGTAGAAGATATTCACAGGTCCACTGATGTAGAAATAGGGATTCCCAGGAAGTCCCAACAGGGCTACCTGGGTCCAGAGTGGTCCAACAGAGGAGGCCGTGTTGTCTGGCATCCAAGCAGCAACAGGTGTTTCTGCAGATGACTTAGTTCAAAGTTGAACTGAGCTGCACCTGGACATCTACCATTTCTAAGGAACTTCAGCCACCATTTATACCTGGCACTTCTTGGCCTGGTCCTGCCATCAATGGCTCACCCTTCTTCCTTTGGTGGTCCTCAACTGTACAAAGAATTCCAGAAGAACTGCCTAGGTATCCACATGATAGCTGCCCTCCCCCAGGGATTCTGATCCCAGAAGCCAGAGGTGAAGCCCAAAGACATTTTCAAAAGTTCCAGCCATATTGGCAATTACTACCTTGCTGCCTTTTAGATGGTTTTGTATATCCACAGCTCTGGCCTTTCCTTGGTTTTGTGGCTTTCCAGGTGACTTTCTAAGAGTGTGTCTATTTATTTATTCATTCGTTTGTTCATTTATTTATTCTTTCTCTTATCTTTACAGAAGACATAGATGAAAACCTCCTGTTTTGAATTAAGATTTGAAAGAATGGAAACTTCCCGCCAGCCTCGTTTGCTTTAACTGCTTCTGAGTACATGCAGCCATGACACTATAGATGCATAGTTAGCAAAATGTTTGTTTGCATGTAAGAGAAGACAATGACACTAACTGCTTGATGGTGATAGACATGTGCCGGCCTTTAACATTACCCTAGGAAATAAAACTTTAAAATTAAGTAGTGCCAATGTCTACAAAAGACTGTACTGTCTGGGAATAATTTAACTCGTAGTACTGTCACTCTGCATCTACTTTTAAAACATGAAAAATGTGTTCTTATTGTCCGTAATACCTTATGCATGTTAAGGAAGTGAGATATTGCTCTTTTGTGGTTAACATGCCTCATTTTCAGTATCTTAATGTCTAATAAAGAGCCAGTAAAGAAAGCCTCAAATGCCTGCTCAAGTTTATTTCCAGTTGTTTATTTAAACAATTAAATGTAAAAGACCAACTCAGGGCTTACATTAGAAATCAAAATAGAATTATGCTTGCTTACTGCTCCTAATAAAAGGTTCATTTAAAGAAAAGATTGAGACATTTTCTATAACAAATTGTTACAAACTAATCATGAATGTCCTTTGTCATTGTGTAAGTTTTTTGTTTTTCTGTTTGTTTGTTTGTTTGTTTGTTTTTGGGGGGTTGTTTTTTGTTTTTTGGTTTTTCTAGACAGGGTTTCTGTGTGTAGCTTTGGAGCCTATCCTGGCAGTCGCTCTGGAGACCAGGCTGGCCTCGAACTCACAGAGATCTGCCTGCCTCTGTATCCCAAGTGCTGGGATTAAAGGCATGTGCCACCAATGCCCGGCCATTGTGTAAGTTTTAATGGGGGTGGGGGTTGGATTCAATTGCTTTTTAGCCAAGTGCAGTTTAAAATGTGAATGATTCTGCATTGCATTGGCCAATCAGTTCTAACTTCTGTGAGGTAGCATTTGTGCATCAGAGAGGAAGAGATCTGAAAGAGCCCCATGTGTCTCTTTTCTCAAAACAAAGTGAAAGGTGCAGATGATGAGCCATGGGGTAATGCCGTGAGAGATCAGCATTATTCCCTTGGCCTGATTGTGTCTTAAAAAATTTGTGTTTCTAGTTGGGCTTTTCTGTAATGCTAAAAACTGGGGCATAAAAGTATAAGTGACACCACACAATATTGCAATGTCTACAGTGAGGCACCAAAAGTTCCTGGCATCCATTTCATTCCACTTTTATAATATTTGAAAGAAATGGGAGGTTATATAGTTTTCTATTGAAATAGATGCTATTGATACAATTATCTTCAATGGTTTATAACCTTTTATGAGGTCAAAAAGTCCCTTATTCTTGAACTAAAACCACATTAAACCATATCCTTTCTAGATAATTAGGTTCAATTTGACCAACCAAAATCTACTTATTTATGTTTATCAAATAGGAAATTAATTTTAAAAACATTCTAAACTTCAGAATATTTTTATAAATACCAAAACTGTCTTAATTAGAAAATAACTTTTAGAAGTTAGGTTTTAGAAACCATGTTTTATAATTATACTAGCAGGTGTCAATTAGGCCTGAATTTTATTTTACTCTCAGGAAGTTTTGCAAAAAATTCTTTAAAATAAGGAAAACTGATTTTAATATTAAAGATGCCATCTAAACACAAAAATGTATATTTGACAATTATTTTCATTTTGAAATGAAAATACTAAGAATGGAGATGTTCAGATCTTACCCCGGGTCTGAGGACACAGGTAGACAGAAGTGCTTTCATGTTCTTTGTGGTTAGTTCTTAATGACCAGTTGGTTGTGATAAAGAATCGCTCTGATCCCAGCCAAGGCAATGAAGCTGTCTTCTCAGAATCCTCCTATAAGCCCATCTCAGTAATTGTGATCTTCCAGAAAGTGGAGTCCCTGGTATGAAGCTAATCTCTCGTTTAGCCATGTATTTGTGAGTCATATTGCCCATGACCATGTAGACATTAGTAACACAGCTTAAATACTAGCCAGGTGTAGAGATGTCAGTCCACACTGCTTCCTGAATCTGCTGCTCTGAGGTCCATTGGAAGCCCAGGTAATTAAAGCGATATAATTTATGCTGCTCAAAGTATGTGGGATAGTCTTGGGTTGGTAGTTCAATGACTTCTACTATGTCCACTTAACAAAAGGGGAAGAAATTTTTAGAGTTTGGATCCAGAAAACATACAGAGGAAAAATATGAAAAAGAAAGGATGAAGTCTATGTTCAAGCAAAGTGATACAAACTCAACCAGAGTTGAGTTTAAGTATATTGCAGTAGCTGGCAGATGATTCATGGACGGATGGAATTTGCCTCAGATGTTGGGGACAAGTCTTCATGAAGATATGGTGAAGTTGTTCTTTCACAGCCTAACTCCATAGTACAGTGACATAGTTTAAAATGCAGAGGGTAAGCTAGTTCTAAACGAATGTGATTTTACGAACGTGAAGTTTTACTTTAGAACCAGTGGGGTAGAGCTGACCTTGTTGAATTGCTTTACTGAATTTATCCATACTTTGCTTATTCTTATCAACCCATGATGCCTTGCAAATTTTTCTCATATAATTTCCTTTCTAAGGAACTGTAATTGTCAACAACAACAACCTACGGGGCATATGGACCGATCAGTCTTGTGCAGCAACAAGCTTTATCTGTAAATTCTGTAAAAACCGTTTTCTCCTTTTAGTCATCGATACTCCCTTCCCCATTGAAACATTAAAGACAAAAAGACCTGTATCCGGAGATTGCAATCTCAAGTCACTTTAAAGGCAGAACAGCTGAGTGTAGGCAGAACAGTAAAGTGTAAGGAAGAGTGGGGACTGGCGGGCACTATAACAAGCCAGAGAATGACTGGTCTAAAGGCATTTAAAGCTTTTGAAAAGTTTTCCAAGCTTAAAAAAGTGTGAATCTAGAGGCAAGATTTAGCCTGACCACTGTCAGCATGTCTACTTCAACGATCTGTTCACATGGAAACAGGACGTGGAGATCACCTCAACCTTCACTCCCAGACTCTTGTCTTCAGAATGAAGGTTTTCCTCCTGGCCGCCCTGCTGAGCGCCGCCACTGCTCTGCCCATCCCAGTGAGTACTCAACTTTCAGTCTCCACTGTGAGTCTTCATATTTATGGGCTAGAAGGCATCTCACATCTTTACAGATGAGGAAAGTGCAGTACAGGAGTGCAACAGAATCAGGAATCTTCCTGGGTCTAAGGCTCTGTATGTCACAAAGCTGTTTCTGGAGGCCTTGGGCAAGGAACTAACTGATGCTTTCCCTGCTCAATGAGTTAGGACAACTCCAGAGTGTAAAAATGATTTTTAAAAAATTGTTATAAAAAACTTACAGTCCTACTTGCAAGAGAAAGCTCTTGGCAGACTTAGCAATATAAACAAAGTGCTCTACAGGGACCCAGATCGAAATTTAGCCATCGAATTGAGCTCCGTTCATAACACTGCCCTACATCATCTAGAGTTTTCTTAAAAGGCTCCTCTCCAAGACGATCCAACACCAAGACAGAGGGTGATGTAAGACTACCCATGCTAGTTCTAAGTTAATATTAAAAACTTATGTCTGAAATATGCAGTTCAGGAGTGTGACAGATCACTAAACATTATACATGAGCATCTTTACTGTACCATTTGGGAAAGCAGGATTGGGTTAACAACCCATGCCCATATGAAGCATGCCTGGATAACAAACCAGTCTCTTGCATGAGATCACAGTTGATTCTTGGAACATTAACAAGAACTGTTGTAGTGTGTTCTTGGTAGGACTAGGGCTCAAACCTAGAGTATTGCACATGCAAGGCAAATGCTCTTCCATCCAGTTACATCCCCAGCCTGGACAAGCATTCCTGTCTAAAGTTCCAAAAAAGATGCAAAACTTGTCTCTGTAAGAACACTATGCTGATGAAAGTGTTGCAGCATAAATATTTCAATAATTTGAGTATGGGCTTTCTTCATCTGTTAGCATCTCTGAAATGAGTATTGTTTCAGCCATGGTGCAATAGATAATGCATCATGCCCATTTGACAGGAACATTTGCTCTGTAGTTGATCTGTGAAATAATGATGCATTTTATGATACCATCATAGAATATGTAAAACAATGAGAGCACACCACCGGCAGCTTAACCTTTGTTGTGCACTGACTACAGCCTACATTTGTACTGAGACCTGTAGGAACAATTTATATTTATTGTAGACAGTGCCCAGCACCAGTGAGGTATGAAACCCTCTCCATGCACAACTGGCAACAAAGGGGCTTTCAAAGGTTGTGGGGAGATTACAAAATTTAAGTTGAGACTCATACTCTCTTCCTTTGAACGTCTACATACTGAAAACAAATCTAGAATAGTATTGATGTTAAATATACCAGAACAAGGCATGCAGTGTGTGGTCTTAGGAAAGTAAGTAAGAGCATGTTTTGATATAACTTTAAAGCCAAAAGTGCTTGACACTCTGAATCACTGGACATAATTAACTGGGCATTTCCCTGTTAAATGTGTAATTTACTTCAGAGGTGAAGACTCATGACTGATAAGCATAAAGCTCATGGGGTTTCTTTTTTTAGCTGTTCTCACATAAAATGAAATGTCTTCACTCATAAGGTACGGTGGCCAGCTGCTTCACCTTGTTGCTTTTCTTGTTTTCAAGCTCGGACAATCTGCAGGAAGCTCCAGTGAACAGGTACGCCTGGACTTTCCAACGGACGTTCATATTTACAAGCTGTCATTTGCACTCCCAACGATCCACACTGTGTTTCCTTTCACAGAGATTCAACTTCTTCCCACCACAAATCCTGCCATTCTTTCCTCAGTTTCCCTTCCAGCAGCCTCCTCTGGTAAGCAGAGTGTGGGAAGTCTCAAGTGTATCGGTTGGGTGGTGAATGGCTATCAAACTTTCCAAGTTTTGTACCAGTAGCCTCTGTGACAGTATTCTTTTGCTGTCACTAAATCACTTTGTTGCTTTCTTTTCTTGAAAAAAAAATGGGGGGGG